GTTTTCTTCTTACTATAGGTCTAATCGATTTGCCATTGAGTGGAGGTAGGTTTACTTGGTGTAATAACCAAGATTCACCAACCTATGTAAGGCTGGATAGATTTTTGGTTGATAGCCAATTCTTGGCAGCTTTTCCAGATTTAACACAATATTTGCTGCCAAGATCATTGTCAGATCATAATGCAATAATTATTGAGAATGGAGGTGTTAATTGGGGGAAAAACCGTTTAAACTGTTTAACTATATAATGGATGAGGTAGGATTTGAGAATGTGATCAGTTCTTCAATTCAAGAATGCAAAGAGATACAGATGAATGCTGGAATTTTCAAAATTCTGAAGAAAAAAAAACCAAAACTGCCATTAAAAATTGGGCAGGGAATAGAGGAAAGTTTCCTGGAGCTTTAATTTCAGAAATAGAATTGAAGATTCAAAAATTAGAAGTGGAGGTTCAACAGTAACAAGATGGTACTTATGATGAGAAAGCTGTTGAGTTAAAGGAGTTAAGGTCAGAATTATGGAAGTTGCATAAGATAGAGGAGCAGATTTGGTTCCAGAATTCTAGATCCAAATGGGTAGAAGATGGGGACAGAAATACCAGATTCTTCCATACATGTGCTTCAGTTAGTAGGAAAAGAAATACGTTGAATGCTCTTATTTGCAGGGGTAATGTTATTCAAGACCCAAAGGATATAAAAACCACTGTCAAAGATCACTTCTTTAAGGCTTTTAATGACAAATCGACCTTAGAAGTGAAAGAAATCGAGTTGAATTTTTCCAAAATTTCGATTCAGCAGAGTTTAATTTTGGAGAAAGAATTTACTGAAGAGGAAATATGGGAGACCTTAAAGTCTTGCAATAGCAACAAAGCCCCGGGGCCGGATGGTTTTAATTTGGGGTTTTTCAAGAGATATTGGCATGTTCTTAAAGGAGAAATTATGAAGTTCTTCTTCAACTTCTATTCGGGGAAAGATTGGGATCATGGCATCAACCATACCTTTATTACTCTTATTCCTAAGGTCTTTAATAGTGGTGACCTTAATGATTATAGGCCTATTAGCTTAGTTGGTGGATTATATAAGATCCTATCGAGGAGGTTGAGGAGTTGTATTTCAGACTTAATTAGTCCTACTCAATTTGCCTTCACCCAAGGGAGACAAATATTGGACTGTTCTTTAATTGCGAATGAAGGGGTGGATTATTAGAGGAAAAATGGTCTTAAAGGTTGTGTTCTCAAGGTAGATTTCAAGAAAGCGTATGATTCGGTGGAGTGAGACATTTTGTTTCTAGTAATGGAGAAAATGGGATTTGGTTCCAGGTGGAGAGGTTGGATCAGAAGGTGTGTAACCATAACTTAAGTTTCTGTTTTAGTGAATGGAGTTCCTACTGAGGAATTTGCAATGGTAAAGGTCTTAGACAGGGGTGCTCTCTATCACCTCTGTTGTTTAATTTTATTGGAGAACTTCTCAATCTGCTTATTGTGAAGGCTGTGGAACAGGGTCTGTTTTCTGGACTGGTTTTAGGAAGGGATGTTGATGCTTTAAAACTATCTCATCTACAGTTCGCGGATGATCTCATTATGCTTTGTGGTGCATCCAAGACGCAGATTTTAAATGTGAAGAGGGTGCTTAGAGTGTTTCAAGTGATTTCTGGTTTACAACTCAACTTGAAGAAAAGTAGACTATTTGGTGTGAATATGAATGAGGAAGAAGTTCAGCAGTGGGCTAATTCTATCGGATGATCTGTGGGTAGTTTTCCGTCTGAATATTTAGGACTGCCTTTGGGTGCTACTAGGAACTCTACAACACTTTGAAATCTGGTGGTGAATAATTTTATGAATAAATTAGCGGGGTGGAAGGCTGCTTCCCTGTCATTAGCAGGAAGGTTGGTTTTAATAAAGTTGGTTCTATGTTCGCTCCCGACGTATTATTTATCTTTATTTAAGATACCAGCTGCGGTTCTAAAATCTCTCAACTCCATTATGGCGAATTTCTTATGGGGTGGGGGAGTAGGTAAAAATAAGATACATTGGGTTAACTGGCCGAATGTGTGCAAGTCAAAATTCGAGAGGGGTTTAGGTGTTAGAAACCTTGGTTTCATGAATAGAGCTCTTCTAGCAAAATGGTATTGGAGATATGCTAATGAAAGGGGGTCTGTTTGGAGGGAATTCATTTGTTCTAAATACAAAATGGATCCATCTTGGTTAATGTTTGACAACAAAGTCCCACAAAAAGTATCTTGGATTTGGAGATCGGTGGTTTTGAATCACTTTAAAGAAGACAATATTGGCTCTAAGTTTAGAAGTTTGTATTCTTTCTGAGTTGGGGATAGCAGATTAATTAGGTTCTGGCAGGATAATTGGGCGTTGGACTTTCCTCTTCTAATTATTTTCCCTCGATTGTTCTCCATTTCCACAAACAGAATGGGTAAACTAGTTGAATTTGGGAATTACAGCTCATATGGTTGGAGTTGGGATGTGCAGTTTAGAAGAAATTTAAACGACTGGGAAGTAGAAGAGTGGGTTAACTTGATGAATGCTATCTCCTCTATTTCTCTATCTACGGAGTTATGTGATGGGGTGATTTGTAAAGGTACTGGAGATGGGGTATATACTGTTAAATCTGACACTAAGATTTGTTCAACCATTATTTCGGATTCGGAAGAGGTATATTTCTGGAAGAAGATTATTTGGAGGGGCCAGATTCCACCTAGAGTGGAGTTATGTGGCAGGTGGTGTTAGGGAAACTGGCTGTTAGGTCAGAACTTGTTAAAAAGGGAATACAAGGAATTGTAGACATTAGGTGCCCTCTTTGTAAGAGAGAGGTGGAGTCTCCATCGCACTTGTTTTTCACGTGTTCGGTGGTGTGGATGATTTGGAACAAATTTATGAATTTCTGGAAGATTAAGTCTGTTTTGCATGTTAATTTGAAAAAATTCCTACTTGCTTGGGCTGAGTTGAAGTCTTCTTCTACAATTTGGTCTTTTATTCCTGGGGCAGTTATTTGGACTACTTGGAAAGTAAGGAATCTCATTGTGTTTGAAGGGGGAAAACTGGATTTGGCTGAATATTTTTTCCTAGCAAGGTTTAGACTAGCTTCTTGGTTCCTTGTTAAGTACAAAGAGGTGTCTATTCCTAAGGATTCTCTTATTTCAGACCCTTCATTAGGGGATTTGTGCTCTCTTTATCCTAATCGGCTTGTATCTATATTTCCTTGGTCTCCTCCTCCTCAAGGTTTTGTAAAGTTAAATGTTGATGCGGCTACTACAAGAGATTGGAAGAAGAGTGGGATATGAGGTGTTCTAAAGGACTCCTCGGGTTTGACTTTAAGTTCTTTCAAGGAATCTGCTGGTCCGGGACCTCTAACTTTTATGGAATTAAAAGCTATTCAAAAGGGTCTAATGTTCTATGCGAATTTACGAGACAGGAAGGGTCGTTTGATTATTGAAAGCGACAACAAAGTTGCGGTAGACTGGATTAAGAAAGAGGATCTAGTTCATGATGTTTATGCGTTTTTTATCAAAGATATTGTTCATAGGCTTAATGTTTTAGAAGGTGTTGTAAGATGGGTTAATAGGTCAGCCAATCTAGAGGTTGATGCCTTAGCTAAAGAAGGAATTGGCTGATTCTATTCTAGTCTTATATTTCGGGTGTTTTATGGTTTTTTCAAGTTTATTCGGTCGGTGGGGTGTATGATGGTTGTATCTTATGTAATTTTATGGTTCAATAAAATCGTAAGGCGCTCTTTTTCTCCTTCCACTGATTAAGGAGTTCATATAAACTCCATTAATCAAGAAGGGGGTTTTTAACGAGGCCTGAAATTCTTATAAAAAAAATAATCTAAACTTGTAAGGGTCATCATCTTCTACTAGTTTATCCCTCTCAATCTTGACAGGATCGAACTTACACCTATCAACATACATAATCTTGATCGAGCCAAATTTACACCCCCTCAATCAAAACACTAGTATTTAGTTGATAATTATATTTATGCATCATCATCATACCTACACCTTCCTGTCCTTGATGGTGGAATGAAGCTTTGTGATTTTCAAAGAAAGTTGGTGGTTCAAACTCCCAGGACGGTTTTGATAGAGGTAATGAACATGATATTTTAAAGAAATTGAAGGTTGTCGCATTTTGGTCCCCTTCAAACCGATTTTGCAGCTTAACATCCACACTCACCGCACCATCATCACTTCTGTTTTCACCATCTATCACTTCCTCCAACTGTACAAGCCTTTTACCAAATACGGGACATGTGTCATCTTCAACATGGTTCTTTATAGTCTCAATGGCATTGAAAGAACCTACACTCACTGTTTCATCATATTGAAAATCAAGTCCCTCGTAACTTTGATCTATTTGATATGTTTCATCATAAAGAAATTTATCAAACAACTGAGAATCATCATGTTTTTGCTCACACTTTTACCAGTCAGAATCTGTAACATGTGCTCCACATCTCTCTGCTGCGACGCCATTTTGGATTCCAACATTCTCAACTGACTGTCCTGCTTCTGCCACCATTTAGGAGGGGTGGACTCATCAGCTGTTTGCTTGACCAGCTTTGTCAAGTACTCAATCTGCTGTTGAATCGCAGAAAAAACAGAGGATTCAACCATTGCTTTTCCAGGAGTTGTGGCTCTGGATACCATTTTGTTATGATCCTAGTGCGATTAGAGAAAAAAAATAGACAGAGAAGAGATAGACAAAGAAGGGAAGAACAAGATTTTAGGAAATGAATTTTTCATTCATTGATTGCATAAGATAATTCTATTTATTTGTTTACAGGTTCCGAATCTAAGGCTTTGCCAGCTGTTGTCCTTGGCTAACAACCTCAACTTTCACTGCTGATATTGGGCTTCTCATTCTGGCCTCCTCACGTGCAGGGTAAGTAAAAATCCCCAATTCTTCAAATACAATCCCTAATCCTTCCTCTTCGATCCCCAATTCTCTTCCGTCTTCTTCGATTTCTGTATCTCTCATGATCATGACATAAAGTTACAACATTACTCCAAGAGTGGCACCTTTCTATCAACTTCAAGTTTTTCTCTAAATGGGGAACATAACATCAGTGGGCAAAAGGCAATAAAAAATCAACGCAATGCCCCATTATCACATGCCTACGATATAAATCCCAGTTGCAGGGACAATAACTACCAAGTAATTTTGCAGAACTGGTGCATGATATTGAAACATTACCATCTTCAAATGGCTTGATGTTTACAAGAAAAGAACAATAGTATAGAAAGATTACAGACATTCTCAAAGACGGTTTTCCTTTTATCAGGGGGATAAATAAGATTGAGAAAGTTGTATGAAATTGGTGGAGCATATCGTGCAACCATCCTGACAGATATATTGGAGTGAGCTCAATTACAAATTCTAAACATGAGAGAACAAGTAAAAGTTGAAATGGCAGAAGAAAAAGGAAGAATTACGAGCATATCATAAGCAAGCTGACTGAGCTTGTTTGTCTTGGTGTCAAGGCGTAGAACATCAGCATTCCAATTTTGAACAAGGAATAATATGTGCAAACACACATATACATCAGAGGGATAAAAGAAGTAATCTGCAAATCAACATGATCATTTGAAACCACCCAAATGCACCATTTATTAACTTAAATGCAATGGGGTGATTGATTGGACATCAATAAGACATTTAACTAAAATGAATACTTCTCACTTCAGTTGGTAGCGATAAGCAAATGAATGATTCACGCTACAAAGCACTAGCGCTTCCCAACTCTTAGTTTTGAATTGATATTAAGGCATACAAAATGCTTTATGGTTGGTTTCTTCCTTCTGGAAATGGAGAATAGGATATAGAATAAAAGGGTGATGACAAATTGCAAGCCTGATTTCTACAGTTCAACTCTGTGTTTTAACACAAGCTTGATGCTTGTACCACAAGCAATTTACACATTTGAGCATCTTAGGAATTAATATCTCAATATATTACCTGCCCAACCAGTTCCTGCTTTCCCACGGACTTATGAGAATGGAGAAGAGAGACAAATCAACTCCATGGGGCAGTATGGTAGCCTCTGCTATAAGTATTGCAGCTGACATGCAACCCAGAATCACAGCCAAGAGTCTCTGTAGTTGCTTTCTTAGAACACAACGCCAAACAAACTCTGCAAGGCGTAACTAGATAGTTTGAATATTACCCGACTTGATGGTAACTTATAATTAAACGTTTAACACAACTTACAAAGAGCCATTACTGCATGTTCAAAAAAAGTACTCCATATCATTACTCAGCAGTACAAATGATTAAGCATCCCATTTATGTCATGAATGACTTTTCACTTTTCAGCACAATCTTGTGGATAATAACATTTTGTTGTCACTTCGAAAACTTGAAAGGGAAAAAAAGTACCATCAAAGGTTAAAGAAGATTTATCTATATGTTTTATGGATTTCCAGTCTGTGATAAGGAAATCATAACAAAACTGAAACAGAAAATTTCAAGCATCTAGAATTCTAGATGGAAAGGTTAAATTTAGCACCCAGAAATTCCCAGAGCGAAAGAAAAATGAGAAATATAGATAGCCTCCAAAAGCGATAATTACCAATCGTATCGAGAGAACGCCCTAGTTTTCTAGATTGTTCAGGCTTGAAGCTTGAAACAAATTTCCTGCAACACTTCAAAATGAATCTTTTACTAAGTTTTAGGGACAACATAATACAAGACTTGAATAGCACATAAAACACAGAAAACTGTAATTGACTTCTAACTTATATTTTAGATGATCACGATGACGTTACGAACAAAAATAGTAACTATAGATTCCACCATCAAACCTTGGATGGATGATGTCAAGAATACACGAACCTTTACTTAAATTAACTATTCTGTCTAATATTGGCACCTTTAAGTAGAAACCAAGATGCCCTTTGGGATTTCAATAAGACCAAAGCCAAGAAGAAAGTCCCCAGTAACAAGCCCAAAAGTATTGGGGCAAGCCATTGCAAAACCAAGAATGCCTCCACTCCTATACCCCCAAAATACAAAAATAAATAAATAAACAATTGATCAATCAAAACGAAGGATGCTATACCAGTCAACAGCCAAAACCACAGAAGCAGTATTTTAGTAAAAAAAAAAATTGTAAAAGAAAAGGCTGTCAAAAAAATCACACCCTAATATCAATAAGGTATAGGATGCATACAAATTGATAAATGCATGAATATAAGACAACGGTGTCAGCTAAAGGATCTAATTAACCAAAAAATGAACCATCGGGAATAACACTATCATAAATCATTTTAAAACAAGCACTCAAAATGCTAATTTGCCACCTACAACCACAATATCTAAAGGAATGATCATGAACTGACAAACACAATGAGAAACAGTCAGTCAAAAGCGAGAAAGAGCAATTAGTCAATAAGAAAATAAACAAACCAATTTCTGCGGAAAATAATGAATAAAATGACTCCAACAAGTCCAAGAGAACCAACGCAGAGGTAGAAAACTAAGTTTGCATGTATGCTAGTCTTCAATCTTTCTGCCACGGTGAAATCTCCAGCATCTTCATAACCCTGAATAGTAGGCACCACAATCCTCCTTACATGCATCTTTTAACCATGAAGCTTCTAAAAACTTTACTCTAGACCCCAACAAGATAATAAACAAAAGATAAAGTAAAGCAATTAAAAGTGGAAGTATAAATATATTTCAAAATTCAAATAGAAACAGAAAGTAAAGTAGAGGTGCCAAAAGAACATATAATTAAGGGGGGGAAACATTTTGTGGATACTTTCTAGATTCATACCATGTTAGCAGAAATGTACTCCAATAACTCAAGCTCCAGAATAGAGATGTCTCACTGCTGGAATGACCCACCATTGTCTGCCAGATGAAGAAAGCAAAAAACGAAAGCATGCATGATTTGCAAGCAACAAATAAGCGCATAAATAGGAAATCATGAATCGATTAGGAGAACAAAGAAAGAAAGAATTAGGTAGTCCAAAGAAATCACCGTCCAAATATCGGCGGGGACAAGGATGATGATCGAGAAAGAACAAAACCAGGTATATCCAACGGTTAGAAATACGTAAATAGGAACAGAAGGACCCGCGAAATATCTCGAAGTGAGAATGACCATCCCCAATGTTAAAGGCAACGAGATCAAATAGAAAACCAACATCTTTCTTTTTGATACCTTCTTCCTCTGTCTATACACCTTAAATAAAAGAATTCGGTTCATGTGGGGTTAAATTTCCCTCTCATTCTCCTCTTGGCTCTGGCTGTTGTTTTCCCGGAAAACACTAGTAAAAAGAAAATAAAGGTTGGCTGTAAAAAAAGCCATTGTTTTTCCCCCTTTTTGAGCCTTCAATTTTAAGGGAACCTAAATTAACGCAGCAATTTGCTAATTGCGGGTCAAGAGGCGCTTTTCTATATGTTTTCTGGGGCTTTTCCTTTTTTCCCTGCATTTTTCATCATTCTCATTTCCAACCGAATCTCCGCGCGTCATTTAAAAGTGTTGGCTCACCACAACAAAGTGCTCCGTTTTTCTGATCATCGTCCATTATTCAATGCCACATTTTCTACCTCTTCCCTGCAAATTCAGTTCATGTGGGGAAAATAAAGGAAAACTAAATAGTTGGCAAGGGAGAAGAGAGGAGAGGAAGATTAGTCATGTCGATGGCGGCATTCATTTATTGATGACCTTTTCATTGACATTGAATTTCTTTTATTTAACCAACAAATATGAGTGAGACTTCTTTTTTTAACTAATAATCATTAGTTTTATTAATTAATAATAAAAAGAATAATAAAAAATCATACAAAGTAAAGATTAAAATTTCGAACAAAAAATTCAAGTAAATAATAGATGTAAATAAACATCATTATCGATAATAAAAGATAAATATCATCAATATTAAAACAATAATAATTAGTTTATAAATCAATTACTGTAATTCGAATGTAATCTATCTTCAATGTAATTGATAAGTGTCTAAATCAAAATTCAAAACAGTGATATATCAACCTGCTAAATTAAGAGAGAGAGAGAGAGAGAGAGAGAGAGAGAGAGAGAGAGAGACTGCTAGAACAAATCTGGGAGCTGAAAGCTTATACTGAACATTTTTTTTGGTTAATAAACATGAGAAAGTTAACTCACTCGGAATATGTTCCAGTGGATACAAATCATTCCATATTTGCTTCACCCTTCCAACTTACAATACTAATATTTTTAGAGACAACACGATCATGACAATATCACTTATTTTTTAATGGAACATTCCAGGCAGCGAGAGTAGAGGAAGCTGGCCGCATTTGAAGACCTGCTCAACCGATTGGCATATCAAAGGCCCAGCCGGGGTCTAATCTATACGACCAGACATTGAATATAATGCATGCTTATCTAGCTAATACAGACAACAGCTTTAACGTTCAAAATGCTTTGCTGCAACTAGGAACCTCTTCTGAACAGCCACCACATTTATTGGATTGGGTAAAGTTCTACAAAATTATCGTTTCATAGCATACAACTACATCACTCGGTAAACAAAATAAAAGCACTAAAATAACCAATGACACAATCCCATTATAAGCGTACGAGTTCTAATTTCAACTACCTACTGGCATGAGCAAAGGAGAAATTTCAGTCTTCTCATCAGTTCTCAAGTGATATCTGCCCTACCACACCAATTTATACGAACATCATTAACTCTGGCCTACTGTATATGTTGTTCTGCTCACTGCTCTGCTCGTCCTCTAGAATAGGATACGCTGCAACTAGAGCATCTTGAGCTCCAATATACAGTGAATTATATATCTTCCAATATACTTCCCTAACCTTCCGAGCAGGATGGAACAGACCCTGCAGACAATAGTTCAGCACCACTGCAGCACCTAAGGCTACCCTCATCCCTTCAATGGCCTCCGTGACAGCATTTATGACATGAGGTGAAGTTTCAAATATGTTGGGCCAAACATAGTTCATCAAGTGGACTAAAGCATCCTCGCAACCTAACCCGGCGACTCCCAAAGCCATGTGCTTCACAGCTGAGGCTGCAGTTTGCCTGTGAACCAGATCTCTATCCATGAGAGCATCCTCAAGTAATGGAGTCACAGCATAGATGTAATCTTTGCCCATTTCACCAATATACTCAAACAGGAAGGAAAGAGATTTCAAGACACCATTCTGCACGTTAAGTTCTGGCACACGGTACTCATTCATCAATGCTGGTAAAACTGTGAAAGGAGAACATGTTTCAGCAACAATTGCAATCGCCACAGTAGTACAAACACGGTTCTGGCGTTCTTGTACTTTGAGATTGTTTAACAGAGTGGCCAAGACATCTTGTGGGCCAATGGCTTTAGCAATATATCCGAAAGTATTGACAGTAGCTCTTCGAATACCCTTCTTGTGAGCTTTAAGCATCTCAAGAAGCTCAAAACAAATCCTCATCCACTCCCTAGCTGGTACAAACTCCGCACCTCGGTCAGCAATACGGCCAACCAGATCAATGCAGTTTTCCTGGACCTTCTCATGCCTATTTTTCAGAATAGGTGTCAACCTTGGAAGCAAATCCTTGATTGGAGGCGTCATTTTTGTCATACCAATAACATTGACAATTGCCTTAAGGGCTCCTAAAATAGATCCCAAAACTTCAGGGTACTCCTCACCGAGATACTCATATAGAACAACCCCAAGATGGCCCATCAATTGTTCCTCTTGGCACTGTTTCATAACCACAGCAATTCTTGAAATAAGATCAGCTGCCTGCTGCCTGACCTTGGCACTCTTGTTATTCAATCGCCATTTTATGGTACCACAGATCTGGGGAAGATAAGGTTTCACTCTGTGCCCAAGTGAATTCACAACAGCACCAAATCCATTAAGCATCACATTGGCATCATCACTGGTCTGCTCTTGGAAAGCATAAAGAATACCATCAATCAAAAGTTCCTCCAACCTGGCATCAATATCAGATGAGCCCAAGTTTGCAACCACCTTCTCAATTGTTTCCATTACCATACGCCTGTAGGGTTCACTCTCATCCTTCAGATCCTCCACTATTCTCCCTACAATATCAGCAACACCTACTTTATTGGCCATCTCAACCGTTGTCTCCACAAGCTGCCGATAGTTTCTCCTATCTAAAGCCATCCTTCTCACCCAGAAATTCCTGAAGAACTCGGGTAGAATATCATTCCGGATGTAATCAGCTTCAACACCCTCGGTGCTCACACATTGCTTCACCACCTTGAGCACAATCTTCTTCATTTCTTCATCAGGAGACTGGAACTCACGGATAAGAATGAACATAACTTCTTTTGTATAGTAACTAGCATAAATTGCATCCATCAAAGGAATGATAAAACCAATGGCCTTCAAAAATGCAGCCAATACTTTACCTCGATGAGACCTGATACCCTTCCACAATGGTTTTAAAACTGAGTCAAAGCTTTCAATGCCATAGGGGGCAGCAGCCTCAGCAAGGGCAGCCAGAGACAAAGCAGTAATAGTCCTCACCTTCTGATTCTCATCGTTCAAACCATGTTCTATGATTTCTACTAGGGACTTTAAGTGAGGAAGAACGGCACAGCCAATCAAAATAGCAATCTGCTGAACAATCTTGATCCCAGTATGCCTAGCTTGCCATGACTTCTTACTCTGACACACAGCTTTCAAAAATGGTAGAAGTGCAGGAATCCCAAGTGCAGAAGCAACAACACTAAAAGCTCTAGCAGTTGTATTCCTAACATATTCATCAATGTTGTCAATATCAGGACGCATTGCAGCAATCATAGTAGCCAAACCAGCAGCCTTACTGAGATTAGAAATGATTTCTCTACCCTCCACACGAGCATAATAATCTTCATCAATCAACAAGGGTTCGATCACAACAAGAATCTTGTGCACATAAGGCCTAACCAACTCATCCAATTTATACAGCACCCTGTCAATAACCTTAACCAAGAGATGCCTCTCTTGATCTTCCAATGTAGGTTGCATAAGCAACGGCAGAATCCTATTAAATAATGCATTAGCACCAAATTCCCTTGCCTTATCAGTGAGCTGCCTCAGAGCAGTTTTCCTCTGTGGTGGTGTTCCATTCTTTACCTTCAACAAAAGTTTCATGATTTTCCGTTCCTTCAGCTCTTCTGGAGACAGCTCATCCTCATTCTCCTCATTCAACAATGAACCAAAATACTGATAATCCTCGGGCTTCATAAATGGCAACCCACCAGGTGGTTCCTTAGGCACATCAAACTGCTGCCCACGATTCTCCTCAGGAATAGCATATAGTGGGGTTCCCATAGGAGTTGGAGTAGCAAGAAGCTTTCGAGCAGGTGTCCTAATAGGCACATAAGATGAAGGCGGTTCCAAAATCTTATACCCTTCTTGTGGGAACATAGCATCAAGCTCCTCATCAGTCAAGGGTCGATTTCTCTCCTCAATATCTTTCTCCCACCTCAACAAATTATACTGCTCCGGAGTCATAGGCCCACGAAGATTACTTGGTGTTGGTGTTTGCAAATCAGTACCACCAAAAGGAGTAACCCCAGGTGTAAGAGGAACATTTGGTGTAGCCCCTGCCATTGGAGTCGCACTCCCCATGGTTGCAGGAGTCTCGTCCCACCTAGATCTCTGTCGTTTTGGCGTAGGAGTAACCAACCCTTTCGGAGTAGCATCCCATGTAACCCCAGCTGGGGTTGCACCAGGGGTAACTCCACCTACTGGGGTTGCATCTGAATCAGCTACCCGCCCAGGTGTTGGTGTCTCATCCCACCTATTCCTCCTCCCAACTGATGGGGTTGCATCAGAAACTCTCCCAGGAGTAGGGGTAGCATCCCAACGCCCAATACCAGGAGTCGCATCAGGCAAATCCCAATCAGACGTTTTAGCCTTCTTTGCTGCAGAACTACCGTCATCTTGAGACTGGTCCCATCTATTCCTCCTCTTAGGCACCGCAGCAGCTGTGCCACCACTCTCTTTCTCCACCACAGCCGCCTCCTCTTCCTCCTTTTTCTTCTTTGCTATAGCTCTTAAAGTCTCTTCCTTCTCCCTCTTCAGTGCCTGCTCTCTCATCACATCGGCATAAGTCCTCACGGAGGGATCCGGAGTCTTCTCCCCGGCGGCAAATGCATCGTGTCTATCCGGAGAAATGACTTGGTTCAACCTCCTCCTCCTATAATCATCTTCACGGTCAATGA